CTTAGAAAATACCACATTGCTTGAGACGCGTGGGTCCCCCTAATTCAGTACCATGTCTTCAGCAGGGGCCAGCACCAGTTGCTTCAGAGGCCAGGACCAGTTGCTTCAGAGGCATGCACAAAAGGCTGTAGAAGACAGTAAACCTTGAGCTGGAGTGACCAACACTAGATTTGAAGGAGTGAATTTCCCTTGGCCTGTCTCCTAACACGACCCATTACAGATTTTTTTTAAATGGACCTTTTCTCTGATTCTGTGCTGAAACCATCATTCCATGCCACATGGGCTACTCGAGGGGGTTTCAAATTAAGGGTCATGACCCAGGACTGGGTTGTGAGCTGTCAGGCACTGGGTCTCGCTGCTGCAGGGTGCTAAGGCAGTGACCTGCCTGTCCTGGCACTGCAGACCGTGTTGTGCTCCAGAAATGGCCAGCAACAGACTTGGCTCACAAGGGGGGAGGGAGCGAGACTGCATAAGGATCCATGCACTGTCCCTGCCCTGAGCACCAACTCCACACTCCCATTGCTTAGTAACCTGCTGCCAGTTACTTCTGGGCCACATCATGCTCTGCAGTGCCAGGAGAAGCAGGAAGCTGCCTTAGCACCGCTGGCTAAGAGCTGCTTGAGGTAAACTCCTCCTTCTCCAGTCCAGCCCCCTCCTCCAAGCCATAGCCCCCTTCTACAACCCAAAATTCTTATGCTCAGCCCCAACCCATAGGCCATGCTTTAGTCAAATGATGTTAGGTCGCAGCATCAACAATTTTCTTCAACGGGGTCCATGAGGAAAAAAAAAGTTTGAAACCCACTGAGCCAAAGGAGGGTAAAATACATTTTGTCAAAACTGCGGGTGAAAGCCTCATCTCACCGACATCATTAACACAACTCCCCTGGGCAGGGGGCAGACACTCACCTTTCTTTCAGCACAGGGTTTCACTTTTCTGTTGCTCTCTTACAGCAATTTTTTTTCTTTTAAAATGTATGAAACTATATACAGCGCCCCCTTGTTTCCCTCTTGACTCTAGCCTCACGGAGCATTTTGGTCTCAGCATCCAGACTAACCTAGCCCAGGTGTGAACAGCCACACTGCACAGCTCCACCTGTGGTTCTGTGTCCTCACTGAGACTGCATTCACCTGTGCATGTTGCTAGGTCATCTGTTGGCTCAGTCCAAGGTTCTTTATGTTGCAGTAAGTGGAGCTGCTCTAGGATTCTTTCCCACTGACGTGTGGGGGATCTTGTCTGTCATGGACACAGGGGAGAAATTGTGGGTAGATACTAGGTGGCTAGCAGCACAGGAGTGTTTAGCCTGAATCCTCACTGCAAAGTGGGTGAGTTATTAGCAAGAATGACAGTGGATCTTGGGTTGTAAACTCCCCTCCTCCCACCAGGTAGAACTAGCCTAGGCTGAAAGCACCACTAAACTCAGGAGAGAGATCTGGGTGTATGGATGGGAGTAATATGCGGGTAAGAGCCTGTGATTAACTTTGCAGGGCCATTGCTCCATCACCTAGTACTGCAATGAACATACTTCGTTATGCTGTAGTGATATAAATTGGCTATATTTATGTAAAACAGACAGTATCTAAAGACCCCTATAGCAAATTCATAAGCTACCAAGTTGGTTTCCAACTGCTTAGCTGATAGCAATATGAGGTGGTTACATGAGACAGGCCTAATTTTTATGCTCCAGTATTTTTCTCAGTTGTCAGATTGTTTTTCCAGTGTAACTAACTAGGGTCAGTCACTTGACCTTGTTTCTGTGGGAGTCCTCTGCTCTTAAACTTGTACTTCTGTAGGGAAGTTATGGTCTCAGCAAGCATTAGTTCCTTCTTCTAAGGATCTTCCTTTTCCCTTATTTAACCAGATTATTCAATGATTTCCCTTTAGAAAACAAAAAGCAAGTTCAAAATCCTCATTTTGGCTCTCCCTGTCTCTCCAGCTGCTATGCTCTTCCACTCCCTTCCCCTTAATCTTCTCAGAAATGTGAGCAACACACTAACTAAAATTCCCTCCTACCCAATGGGGTCTTCCCCCTTCCTGTAACTCCTTTCTTCTTCCTCAGATCTGCCCTAATCCTAGTCTCTAGGGAAGTGGTTTTCAAAGCATGGTCCATGATTGTCTTGCAGGTGGACTGGAAGCTGATGGCTCCCCCCCACCCCACACACACACCACCTGGTCCCACAAACCAGTCCTACTCCCGCACCCCTCTCACCCAGTCCCTCCTCCCCCATTTCACCTTATAGAGGTGGCTCAGATAGTGTGCAGAAACTTCACCCTCTCACCCAGTGCCTCCTCCCCCATTTCACCTTATACAGGTGGCTCAGATAGTGTGCAGAAACTTGTTTTGCATTTAATGCAAGAAAAAGAACATTTCTCTCAGCTGGGCCACTAGAAAAGCCTAGATTTAATATTTCTGAAGAGAAATTATTATATTTGTGCCTTATTTGTTTTATACGGGCTAACAGATTGGCCCAACTGGGAATATAAAGGCTATAACTCAGTGAAGGAACGCTCCTGGCATGCTCAAGTGAGAGAGCTTAACTCCAGATGTTCAGAAAATGCAGCAGAACTCCAGGAGGGAAGGCAGCCTCATCTGCTTTCCAAGTATGAAGAGATTTATTCTATGCTCATTAAGCTCCTAGAGGCCTTAGGCACTAAAGTTAATTTCTTTGCTAATTATACTTGTCGCTCCTATTTCTTCGGATAGGTAATTAGTTGGAGTGTGAAGACACTGTAAACTTCCACAAATCAGGGGAGAGGTTTGTGGGGTGCTTTCTGGCTAGTATGCAGAGAGGTCAAGGTTTGCCTTTTCGATTGTCTTTAGACGTCCTTCACCACTTGGTAGCAAGAATGAGTGAGGTAACTGATCCAACCTACTGTGCTGACTCCAGAGACTTTAACCTCAATGCAGTGTGATGGCCAATGGTGTATCCCCCTCAGAGCTTGCAGAAGTCTCAGGTTCCTCTGAGCCTTGTGAAGAGACTGAGTAGAGGAGCCCTCTGCATTGACCCCTGATGGCAGTGTAGAAGACTAGCACCTGAAGCCACTCAGTCTCATGTCCTAGTCCAGGGCTACTCAACTTTGGAAGCCCTGGGGGCCACAGTGATACTGACAGCACATGCTGAGGGCTGCAACTTAAGTGTGGTTGCATATACATGCAAATATATATGCAAATAGCTTCATTCACACTGACAGGCATGAATACAAAACACTTCCCATAATGCACCTTCTCCCTAGGGGCTAGAAACACTGACACCCTGTACCTGTCTGTTCTAGCCAGCCCGTCCACTTGCATCTATCAATGCTCACTCCGCCTGGGAGCTGCTTCATTACTGTGCAGTGTTCCCAGTGGAGGCCATGTTCAAAGGATCCCACCCGCGGGCCACATGGTGGCTATGTCTATACTCACAGCTCCTTGCGCAAGAAATATGCAAATGAGGCTAAGTGTGGAATATTGCTGAGCCTCATTTGCATGCCTAATGAGCTGCCATTTTTGCAGAAGAGGCTCTTGCTCCAGAAGGAGCTGTCTACACTGCCACTCCTTGTACAAGAAAAACCCTTTTGCGCAATGCTGTTACGCCGATCATTTTCAGGAATAACGGCAGTGTGCAAGAGGGTTTTTCCTGCACAATAAGGGGCAGTGTAGACTGCTCCTTCTGGTGCAAGAGCCTCTTCTGCAAAAATGGCAGCTCATTAGGCATGCAAATGAGGCTCAGCAATATTCCACACTTAGCCTCATTTGCATATTTCTCATGCAAGAAGCCGCGAATGTAGACATAGCCGATGAGACCTGCATAAACCCAAAACTGCACCGCGGGCCCTGCGTTGAATAGCCCTGTCCTAGTCCCTAGTACATCAACAGCTACAAAATAGCAGGGGTGGAGATGGGCCGAACCACTCCCATTACAGGAGCCTAATGTCCCACTTCTTGTGTATGGCGCTGCAATCCATCAAAAACCTTTCACTTTGTGAAATGGAGGCAGTCACGTGGTGGAAGCTTGAGACTCTGGTGAGAGAAACCTGCAAGAGGATTTCTTCCGAGAAGCACAAGAGCAAGGCCAGAGATGTTGAAAGATGTCAAGTCACTTGTAAAGAGGAACAGGATCCCACTAAAAATAGGTGGGAGTTTCCGAAAGGATTTTTCCCTCCCCACCCCCTTTTTTTTTTACATTCAGAGCTACATCAACTAGCAAGGCAATATTGTCAAGGGCAACCAAGCCTCTAGCCTCCCTCAGAGTGACTACTACTGCTATAACCAGCCAAGAGAACCCTCCACCTCCCTCACTCCCCGTCCAATTCATTCTGCAGTGCAACCAGCCCAATTATGGCTGTGTAGGATTTGGAGAGTGAACTTTAGTGAGAGAGAACATATGAGGGAATGGGCTTTTGTTCTCCCCCTCCCTCTAATGCAGCCACGATTTGGCCCCCAGTTTTTACTAGGCCAAATACAACCTAAGTTTCCAGAAAGTCCTAAGTCAAACTGTGCCCTCAAGCAATACACATCATGCTGCTGTCATTTGTCATATGTTTCTGATTTTATTGCTTTTTTTAAAAACCAACAGTTATTAAAAATGAGTCATTTATTTGAAGGCTTCAGAGAGGGAGACGTCTCATTACAGATATGATGTATTTGCTGTCTCGGTTCACAAGATTGAAAAGTCAAATCCATATGTGTAAACAAACCCAAACAAAAATAGAACAAGTTCAGACCATAGATTATATTATGCAACTTCTCGACTATAAACAACAACAACACACAACAAAACCCTCCACCTCAGACTTGCATGGAAGACTTTCAAAACACAGAGGTGGGTGAGAGAAAGAAAAGATGTATTCTTTGGTTTAAAACACAGTATTGCTTAGAAAACATTCAGTGATTATGGATGGTCTTTAGAATAATCAGTGTTGGCATGTATGGGAATGATTTACTTGATTATGTACAATTATGGCCCGGTCATTAGGGTGAATATTTTCAAAAGGCAGCATAGGCTTTGGATGTTCTTCATTTTTTTTTTTTTTGCACAATTGAGGCCATACTTTTCATCTTAATTTGTAGAGGTGCTGAGAATCCACAATTGCAGTTGAATTCAGAGCTGGAAAGGTCTTGATTCAGAAAAATGTCTCTGTTCAGGATAGTTCTAGTTCCATCCTGAACAAGGACAGACCCAAGTATGTGCTTAAGGCTTTCATCAACCAGAGCTCTAACTGTTTCACTTTCCCTTCCGAAAAACAAGGCCCACAATGGCCACAAATCGAATCTTCAAGCAGCCAGAACCAGTGGTTACTTTTGAAAAGTGTTAGAAGACCGTAAAAGGTCAAAAACAAGCAAAAAGTGTTTAAAAAATATGGCTTTTTTTTCCCTCCTAGTCATTCGAGTGGAAACAAAATAAGTTCAAAGTTTGGTTTTTAAAAACAATTCTGTCCTTCAAAATGACAGCTCAAGCTGATTGTTCTTCTGAATGTTCCTCACTTTACTGTTTCATCCTTGCTAATAACCTGGAGTATACAGGCGCTGAAAAGGGGAAGGAAGAAGATAGATGTGAAAAATACAATGCACAGCAACATTTCATTCCACTCCTCCCTCCCCCCCCCCGATTCACACGAATGGGTTATGCTCATTGTGCATGTTTTGGGCTAGCTCTCGAGAGGCAAAGAACATTATAACTTCCACTGACAGTCCAGGGAGCTGCAGGGCTCAGAGCCTCTCTAGGATCTGGTCCTTTAAGTCCAAGCATGCCCAATAAAAGGGGGCTCTGTTTCTGATCTACATGTCCAGTTTTTGGAACATCATTAAACACTGCTTGCAATTGTATTGTGGCACCTTGGGCTGTCCTGTGGCGCACAAATAGTTTAGACTCCAGAGGACCAAAATGCTTTTGTCTAACCCAAGTTATTAGACTTCATACAGTTACAGCTGGGTGAAATTTAAATGTCCCGTGATATACAGGAAGTAGGATGAGATGATCTAATGGTTCCATCTGGCCTTAAACTCCTATGAAATAAAACTTACCATCTGGCCTTGTAACGCCTACAGGTTGGGCAACCTGCAGCCCATAGACCCCTTCTCTGCCCCTTCGCCCATGTGCCTCTTATGCACTAGGGCACGGGAACCCTGTACTTCCTACTCCTCTTCCCTCCCAGCACTTTTGGAGCACACCAATTTCCTAATTTGTGCTTCATCCCCATTCCTTCCCCTCCCTCCCACAGCTGGAACATTGTGAATCAGCTGTTCGCAGCTGTTCAAGCTCTGGGAGGGAGGGGGAAGAGTGGAGACAGAATGTGAATCAGGCCATTTGGTACTCTAAAGTACTGGGAAGGAGGAGGAGGAGGAGGAAGTGGGGGAAGGTGCATGAGAGAGGCAGCAGATAGGGGGTCCACAGGCTGTAAGTGTTGCTCGAGTGGGCTGTGGGCCACTGAGATGAAGGGGGGCCACTCATGAGGCCCACTTACTCTTCTTGGTGGACATCACTGCCCTACAATATGTGACCACACACCAGCATGAGGGTAGGTAGGAAAATATTATATATCCCTTTAGATGATGATAGCAGGTTCCCCCCTGAGTATTTTATTCAGTATTTGTGAAAGAGGTTGAAGGCAGCCTAGCAGTGCATGTCTATTGAGGGAGGGACTGATGTAAAGTGATCAGTGGAAGTTGGTGACAGAGTTCAGTGGGTACAGTAGCAAACCAAGATATTTGAATTTGACTCATAAAAGGGAAGGCTATTCCATTGGTTAAAAAACAGAGGTGCCAAGGGCCACTGAACACTGGAAATATCCCAGAGAATACAAGAGAGAAAGTAAGATATTTTATTTACCTAGCCGAACACTCCTTTGGGAACCCTGTAAAAAAAGAATATTTTAAAAATAATTCTGACTCTTATCTCTGTTGGACAGCAATTGATTTTTCCAAGTCTATGGAAAAGACCCGGTCACATTGTTTGAAACTATCTGCAAAAAAAGTTTGTTAAAAAATGGTTTATATTTTTCACACTTCTAATGAGGAAGCCCATTCAGCAGCAAAAGCTAGAACAGAATACATCTGAAGCCTGTGTTCAGGGGTATGAGTAGCAGGAAGCAGTTTATACTAGCTCTTCAAAGACAAGGCTGACTTCCTATTTGTGTTTTGAGTACATATGGACTATGATGTCTAAGGGCATGTCTAAACTACATCCTTCTTTTGAAACAGAGATGTGAATTAGACCTATCGAAATTGCAAATGAAGTTGGGATTTGAATTTCCCGCACTTCATTTGCATAATGGTGGCCGCACATTCTTTCGAAAATGGGTATTTCGAAAGTGAAACCGCCGCCTAAACATGGTTCTCTCTCTCTCGAAAAAAAAAACCTTTTTCGAAAGATCCTGTACTCTGAAGTTTAGAGGATCTTTTGAAAAAAGTGGGTTTTTTTTTCCCAAGAGAACCACGTCTAGGAGGCGGTTTCACTTTCAAAATACCCGTTTTTGAAAGAACGTGCGGCCGCCATTATGAAAATGAAGCATGGGAAATTCAAATCCTGGCTTCATTTGCCATTCCGATAGGTCTAATTTACATCTCTCTTTCGAAAGAGGGATGTAGTCTAGACATAGCCTAAGATCACAATCCTGTATGTACTTAACTTTATACACAGTCACTTCCATGGATGATTGTTCACCACATTAAGCACTTGCCTTTGTAGGGCCAAACAGTAAAGTCCCACAATGATTTGGGTTCTACTTACTTAAGACACCTCACCCCTGTGCCGCTAAGGTCACCTGGGGAATTACAGATTTTTACAGCGTGCCATCAAATGGCTGGTGAAAAGACAGTCTCAGTGGAGGGACCCACAATTCTGCAACTCCCTTACCTCAGTGCTCTAAAAGCCCTTGGATCTGTTCGTAGCAAGAAACTGTCAGGTCCAGGTTTGAGGTAGTTATGGGGCATAGTATATAGCTTAATGGTGGGTAAGACTCTTCTACTTCTGCAATTGGTCAACAAATTCAACACATTATTTCTAGTTATTACAATTAACATTCTCTAGGAGTGCTTGGCAGATTACAAACAAATGCAGAGGGGATGCTTCCTGCAGTAGAAAATGTACTGGATCTGAACAGGAAAGAGAAAGAATGATGCAATAATGACATTTGAATACAACATATATTGCTGAGGTTTGCCACGTCTTAACAGCACCAGGATTTTATCTGCAGCACGTTATAAAATGTCTTTTTAAAATTTGTTCTTCGTGGCCTATGAGGATAGAGCAAGAAGCAATGGACTTAAACTGAAGCAAGGGAGGTTTAGGTTGGACATTAGAAAAAAGTTCCTAACTGTCAGGGTGGTTAAACACTGCAATAAATTGCCCAGGGAGGTTGTGGAATCCCCATCTGTGGAGATATTTAAGATTAGGTTAGATAAATGTCTATCAGAGATGGTCTAGACAGTATTTGATCCTGCCATGAGGGCAGGGGACTGGACTTGATGACCTCTTGAGGTCCCTTCCAGTCCTAGTATTCTGTGAATTGTAAGCAAGAAAGAGAAGACTGCTGAAAGCCCAGAATGTTATGTAATTAGTATTTTCATAAAACAGAAATTGAAGTTAATAAATATAATTATTCTTAAAAGTTGTTAATAGGTTTATAATTTCTGGAGTGTCCTGGTGCGTGAGGTACATTTTGTTTACCTTGGATAATGAAGATGCCTGTTTGAAGATTTCTAGTGCGGGGTCTGCAGGTTCATCTCCTCTTTCTTGAGGCCTAAAAGCTGAAGGGGACATTTAAACATCATTAAATATATACTTAAAAAATATTTCCTGCTTCCTTCTTCTAGGGTTCTGTAGATGAAATGAGCACAATACATGAAGGCCCTGATTCATTCCTAGTCAGGACAGCACTTTAAACATGGGCTTAACTTTAAGCACATGCTTAACTTCCACCCATTTCAGCAGCCTGCTTACATGTTTAAAGGTAGGAACGTGCTTACATAGCTTTCTGAACTTAAATGTGAGCCTGAATAGGACTCAGATGAATAATATTAATTGTGACACCACGTGTGGTAAAAATACTTTAAAAAACCATGGGATAATGTAACTGAACTGCATATACAGACTACATGACGGATGGTACGTTGCACAGCTGATCAGAAAATACTATCAAAAGGTGACAACTGTACCTATTCTGCTAATAAAACTTATAGAACTAGGGCATTAGCTACAGCAAATACAACTATACAAATATTGCTTCCTAAGAAACCTGCACAGAATGCCCATTCTTTTAACTTTCTGCCGAGAGAATGTATTTAGTTTTATAAAAATAATGAGCAGTCCTGTGGCACCGAAGGGTGTGTCTAGACTACATGCCTCCTTCGATGGACGCATGTAGATTAGACAAATAGGCAAAGGGAAATGAAGCCGCGATTTAAATAATCGCGGCTTTATTTAAATTTACATGGCTGCCGCGCTGAGCCGACAAACCGCTAATCAGGACGCTCTGCTGTCGACATCAAAGCCCTTTGTCGACCACTCCGTTATTCCTCGTGGGATGAGGTTTACCGGGGCGGTCGACAAAGAGCTTTGATGTTGACCGCGGAGCGTCCAGACTAGCGCGCCGAGCCAACAAACAGCTGATCAGCTGTTTGTCGACTCAGTGCGGCATCCATTTAAATTTAAATGAAGCGGCGATTATTTAAATCGCCGCTTCATTTCCCTTTGCCCAATAAACAAATCTACATGGCTCCGTCGATGGAGTCATGTACATGGCTTCGTCGACGGAGCCATGTAGTTTAGACGTACCCTTAGAGACTAAACACATTTATTAGGTCATGAGCCTTTGTGGGTAAAACCTACTTCATCTGCTACCTGATACTTTTGATTTATAAACAGTACAAAAGACCACTGAAATTCCTAGCCAGCAACCCATGCAGATTTCTATAGCTAGAAATGTTGACCTACCTGCTGGTTGTAAAACAGTATTCACGGCATAAATTACACCATTAGTGGCCATGATATCAGATTCAGCAACAGGTTCCTTGTTGACGTTTACTACATCATTTTTCTAAAGGGGAAAAAAGTAAAACTACCATTTAACGGATAGACAACCCCCCAAGCCTTTACAATTAAAAATCAACAGATAGTCTAGTAGCATCTTAAAGACTAACAAAACATGTAGATGGTATCATGAGATTTTGTAGGCACAACCCACTTCTTCATCTTCATTTTCACAAAAGCTCATGACACCAGCTACATGCTTTGTTAGTCTTTAAGGTGTTACTAGCCTACTCATTGTTTAAGTTTTTCTGGTTACAGACTAACTTGGCTACCCCTCTGAAGCTTTATAATTAAGTTGGCTTTCTACAGAGAAAGCAGACTTTTCTTGAGATCTCAAAGCAAAGGTTACTATTTCAAGACTCTCAGCTCCCTGTAATTATACATCTCCCTGCTAGGGCCGGTGATGGCACTAAGCGGGAGCATGTGTCCCTGTTCTAACATTATCCAAGAGATCACAACCATTTTCTTGAGACAAACCAGAAAACAAAAAGCTCCAAAGAAACTTCCCAATACACACACACACACACACACACACACACACACACACACACACACACAAAACTTACAGAGCTAATTTCAATTTTATCACCCTGCAGAGTCTTCATTCTCACAAGAGCGCCAACAGCTCCACTGACCAAGATTTCCTCCCCAATATGATACTTCAGAATGGCAGCAAGTTCTTTGGCATTCCCTGGCAGACGAAACAAATAGTTACAGAACAATGTTTTATATTATTATTCGAACTAGCAGAGCGCTTAGTTCGAACTAGGTAAACCTCATTGTACGAGGACTAAGCCTAGTTCGAACTTACTAGTTCGAATTAAGGGGTGTGTAGCCCCTTAATTCAAACTAGTGGGAGGCTAGCCCTCCCCAGCTTTCCCTGGTGGCCACTCTGGCCAACACCAGGGAAACTCTACTGCCCCCCTCCCGGCCCCGGAGCCCTTAAAGGGGGCATGGGCTGGCTACGGTGCCTGTGCCAGGTGCAAGCCTGCCAGCACCCAGCCAGCAGACCCTGCACCTGGCAC